GTATATGGATTCTCTTCTTTTTTCATCTATAGAAATATAAATCATTCTTATAAAATAGAATTAGAATTATAATTTATAAAATATGAGATAACTCCATATATACGCCACACCTATCAAAAACTTAATTTATTAAGTATTATTTACTAAAGTATTATTTACTAAACTGTTTAAAGTAAACGAACTATATATATCAGTAAAAATATTGTACTGTCTACTATTATGAAAAAAATATTGTACGGTCTAATATGAAAGAAATCCGCAATATTTATATTTCGTATTGAAAAATAAACTTTTTTAAATTCTTAAATTTTTGCCGTATAGAGGTGGGATATATGACTATTCATAAGAGGAGAAAGAGGGGCTCATAAAAAATTTACAAATAATACATATAAATAAGACGTAAAAAGGCATAATAACTTAGAAAATGCGTTTATAAAATTTTATTAAGGAATAAGAATAATAAATATGTATATGAAGTAATAAATAATAATTACAATCTTCTCACATGTATTACAAGTGTTATGAGGTACACATTTCATGTAATGCATTTATTGCATTTAGTGTACTGAATTCAATCTGCGCATAAATTTGTATGCTTTGCATAAATCCCGCCCGCTAAAAATGCTGTATATATCAAACAAATGGAATAGGTATACAAGACAACAAACTAAACAAAGAATACAAGAGCAAAGTACTTGTATTTTGTTATACAACATGCTTTATTATTTCTCTATACTCATGCATTATAAAATAACCACTAAGTCTTTTGCACGTCCTACAGTAATCATTTTATGTAGATTATAATTTATGATGCTACTTAACCAGTGATAAATCCATTCAACTCACAATAATTTCATTAAAGTTAACAGTAAGAAACTGAAATCGTAACATTATATAATATAACATAAAGGCATGTAACAGAATAGTTGGCGTATTTTCTGGAGTTATTCTATATGCAAACAGTGCTAATCTTCAATCATATGTATGTATCATTTAATATTTTGATAAACAATTGAATGAACGTATAAAATCTTCAAGAAAATTTTTAACCTCTAATAAAATTTTTAACGTAGCATCTATTTAACTATGCATTGTGCAATGAATAAAATGTCAATTAAAATTCTTTGTAATAATATTAAAGATATAATTATAATTATATAATTATATTAATTATATAAATATAAATAAAAGGAATCTGTTCTTTAATGAAAATACTTTATCTTACTTTGCAATGTATACACATCTTATTTGCTCTTAGAAATTTTTTAATCGACTAAAAAAATGACATTCATCTTAATATACCGGATATGTCGATGAATCACTATATAATTAATAATATCACTGGAATCTGAATAACTGAATTAGTAAGGTGTTTGTTCAGTAGAGAAGGAGGTTCAATTTCTCGAAATAATTTTCATAACCACTTCGTAACTTCAATACCAATTTCTCGTCAATAAAGATTCTAGGATATTTAATTGCAAATAATTAATACGTTGATTATTATATATTAATTTAAATATGTACGATGGCAATTTTATTTTAAAAAAGAATCAATATAAAATTATAATCGGTGTAATGGAGATATCGTTATGATATTGAACTCACATATATTAATATTAGACGAAAAAAGCGCATATTAGATATTATTTGTTTCTTGAAGTGAAATAAAGTTTTTTAAATTTTCAGATGCAAACTGTTAATATTACGTGAGCACTTAGAGAAGGATTAAATTAGCCATTCATCATTCATAAAGAAAAAGTTAATAAAAGAAGTTTCTGAGATTGAGTTTTATTATATAATCGTCAGTTTTTTCTGCATGTGGTGCAGTGGGGAGCATCGAAACGATGATTGATAACATCGAGAATCTACCGTTTCTCAGATATTAATATTCAACTCGTTAAATAATACGTCAATAAAACAAATAGCGTCAAGCGATTGTAAAAACCGTTTTGCGCCTACAATCCAGGTATTTCCGTACTGCTTTAGTCATACTCGTGCGTGATTCCATGCACTTTCATAGTGCAGTAGCGTAGAAAACAATATACGATATAATATGCCGATATCTAATAATAGAGGATAATTCGTTTTACATAAATTATCCTATCGAATTTATCTAATTGAAATGTCTCTAGTATTTTCGAGGGTACAGAAAATTATAATTAGAGTAATCCGGTTAGAGATAATGTACACGATGATCTACACTCAATGTTCGAATAAATGAATGAATATAAATACACTTTTTTTTATTCATCAAGAAACGAATAGATACTTTTCTTTCGATTTGAATAAATATTTTTGTAAATATGATTACAATTATTTTACATTCGCTTTCACTCTGCATTATTTGTACATGATTTTTTTTTACAAATATACAGTAAACAGAAATATTTAAAAACAATGAAACAGGTAGAAAAATAATTCAGACTTTTAACTAAATATTTTTTTAATTATACAAAGTTATTCATACGTTCCTGTTGCATCTAATTCCTCAATTAACATTCCGAGAAAACCACATACAACCGTAAAAGAATATTGTAAATTGCAAAAAGAATAATGTATGTGAACAGAATCATCACAATTATTTTTTTCCACATTCAACTAAAAATTTCATAAAGACAAGATTTAACAATATATTATTTAAAGCAATGGTTGTTTATCGAAGCTTTTTTAGATACATTTTGTTTGAATACTTTGAATAAATACTTGTAAAATAATATTTTGTAAATAAATATTTTTAAGAATCCGACACAGTTTTGAAAGAATATAAATACACTGAGAAAAATTCAATTTTAATAAATATTTGTTTAATAAATAAATATTTATTAAATATAAACATGTAATTATTTGATACAAAAATTAATTAAATTTAACTATCGTCTTTTTTATTGAATAAACATTTATTTACTGTAAGTAAATATTTATTATTCAAAGAAATATGAAGATTCAGTAAATGTTTTAAAATGGCTTTTAACGTGAAAATTTCGAATAGATTATACAATTCGTAGCTCGATTACAAATTTTCGTATTTATCGGGCACACTTTACACGAGTTAGGGGAGGAACCGAGCTCCGTAGCCGAGTTAAGTGTGGAATATCCCGTCGCCACGTATTCCGTATTCCTACGCTACGAAACCACGCAGACCTCGACTCGACGGCGCAGTTGAGCGAATGTGCGAATACCGCGGGCGGCTAGTAGTAAACCGCACAAATCGCGAACGGGCGCATGCGCGTCCGTCGTGGAATGCGCGCTCTTGCGTACCTTTACCTCCTTCTCATCCCCTCGCCAACCCTCTCGCATCATCTCCCTGGCTCCGACCCTTCTACTCGCTCCCCCCTCCTCTCTACCATGTTCCCCCGACCGTCCAGTTCGCGGGGCCATTGCAATCTCTTCTTTGTTGCTTTGCCACGCCGCTGCGCTGCACCGTTTCGGTACGCGCTGCCTTGTACGCGTCACACTACGCGGCTCATTTCATTCGGCGATGTGATGTCATACACTACGTTGAATACGCGATGTACGTGTGAATGCATGTGAGTGCATACCCACGCATGTGCGTATTTGTGAAGAAAAAAATTGAAAAACGCATATATATCCGTAATTTGTGTGCACATTTATATATGTGTATCACGTCGCGCGCGATTTTGGACATTTAAATAAGCCCTTTCCAATTCTTCCACACATACTTTTTGCCTTTACTTTATATATTTATAATATTATTAATGTAATAGAATTTCTACAATTTTAATTGCAACTATTGGATAACAAGTTTTTCGTAAATAACTCAGACAGCCTCATCGGAATCCTCGTATCAAGTTGGTGAACTTGATTCAATGAAAAGTTGAAAGTGATAGTTAAAATATTTCATGAAAATATTGCAAAGATATTAATAACTGTAATTTAATAAATCTTATTATATAAATTCAAAATCCATATTAAAATATATATTAAGAATAAGTAGAAGTTCTGACCTCTCTCTTTTCCTCCCTTTCTCTCTCCAGCCCTCTTCATGCTTTCCCCTCTTTCCCTCCCTCTCTCTTTCTCTTATAAGAGTGTCCTCTATATATTTTATAAATATAAATATGTGTGCGTGTGCGTGCGTGTGTGTGTGTGTGTGTGTGTGTGTGTGTATGTGTGCGTGCGCGCGCGCGCATATATAAATGCATTATATAAACGTATATAATTTTCAAAATTTGATGTAGCAATTTTCTGGAGCTTAAAATTTGAAATGCAAATCATGCGTCTCGATGGCATACAAGATATGCACATGTGTGTGATCTCCTCAATTTTGATTTATTCTCATATTAAATATCTTGATATTGAATATCTCAAAAATAATTCGCAACATGACTAAATTAGCTACTTCCATTTTCATCGATACAGTCGATCGGAATTTTATCTATCCACGTTAATATCTCAATAAAGAGCGTGACGCTACAAATCTCTCAATTTAATTCTAATATCTGTTTCTATTAACGTAAATTAACTTTAATCTTGGTTTAATCTTATTTTTTCCAGTGTTAAAAATTAGAAAAAGATAAAGAATAAATTAAACCGAAATTAAAGTTGATCTTATATTGGTAGAACCGGGTCTTATTCGATTATTATCGAGGAGAGTATATAATCGATTCGCAAAATGCAAGAAATTGCAGCACGTCGCGGCACGTTGCATTAATCGAAGAGAGGGGGGGGGGGGGGGGGATCGTTCGACTGCGCGCGAAAACGTGAGGGCCGACGAAACGTGTTGCGTTCATTAATAGCGAGGCGAATGTGGTACGCGAATTAGCGTTGATTTTATGCGACGAGAATTATAAGATGAATTGAAGGTACGCGCGGCGCACCGTTCACCCGATGAAAAGCGGGGATCGTTTCACTCGCCCTTACCTTTTCTTTCGCGGTGTCTTAGCCGATGGTCTTCACGGTCGATGATTTATCTTCACGCGAAGGGCATCTCTCGGGGCGGCGTAATCCGGTTAATCCAACGTGACACAAGAGAGACGTGTGGCGCGGTTTAGCCGCGCAACAGGTGGTCGTCAAAGGTAAACACTTCGCGGATGGATTCGTATATAATATACGGGGCGCATCGCGCACAGACAGCACAGACACAGATTTGTCGCACGACGACAATCGAAAAACTCCGTCCAACGCTCCCACTCGCGGCGTTTTCACATTGACTCACAAACGCTTCCCATAAGAAGCCACCGCAAGCCACCGCAAGCCACCGCGGAGAACACTACGGATTCGAAGCCACGGCTGATTCGCCTCTGTCAGCTTTTCTACCTCTGTCGCGCCGACCAACACTGAACAGTGAACAGTTCCCTCGGTATATTCCGCGCGCGCGAACGGTATTCTCCACTGCGAATGGCCGCGCGAGGAACGTCGCGCGGTGAGAGTTTCAGCAGCGGGAACGTGAAGCGGTAACAAACGCGCGCCACGCAATCACGACATTTTACACCGGCAGCCGGCGAGTGACTGACTTCACTGCAAACTGACTGACACTGGCGGCAAGCGCTAAACACCGGCTCGCGCTCCACCATCGGCTTCGACTCCAAACTCTCTGGCACCGGCTTGGCTTGGTACTCGGGATAATCAATCTCGCAAGGGAGATCGTCCTACATTGCAAAAGTGAATGAGTGAGTAAAAATTAACGTTCAGAATCGAAGAATCACTTTTAATATAGATATTTTAGATGGTCAGATATCTTGGGATTCTATGGATTTTGTATCCCACTTTGCTGGAACATGTTTGACCATTTTAACTTATTGTTAGACACAAAATACGGAAAACAATATATTTTTGAAAAGAAAGTTTCAAATAAGTTGTAGGATTTTAAGAGGCCTGTAGTCTGAGACTGTAGACTTGGGCTTAATATAAGATCCTGAATAAAAAATCTAAGTATTTAATGGTCATCTTCAAATCCTACAACTTATTTGAAATATTTTTTTTATTTGAAATATTTTTTTTTTAAATACATTATTCTCCAGATATTTTATGTCTAATTGTTAAAATGGTCAAACATATTCTGGTTCAAGTTGAATAGGATACAGAATCCATTATAAGATCTTAAGATTTGACCGTCTATCATTTCAAACGTTATCTCTTGATTGGTAATGTTAATGTTACCAACTTGATATCATTTTTGCAATTAGTATTATGAATCTGAATTAAAATATCCTACATATGCAGCATACTTTGAGTCAATCTTTTTTATAGCTTAATTAGTGTAGGAACTCTTCCCAATATAAGCAACATTTGAATCAGTGCTGCAATGTTATTGAAATGTTTTAAAATGTCTTACTTACTGAATTTGTACTTAAAATAAAATAGATATATTTAAAATTTGAAAGCAAAAAGGAAAGTTCTAGCAATCCAGTGCAGCAATAGAAAACAAATTTTTTATTTGAGAAACATCTTAGGAACATCCTTAAGATTTTCGGAGAACGTCTTTTGCAGGTGCTATATGGGATAATAAGCGGCATTCTTCAACATTGAAATTGTCTTTGTTTCTCAATGATTGAATGTATTATTATCGATTGATTCTCTTATCTGTTTCTAATATCCTTAAATATATTTTAAGTTAAATTTTGTTCTTGCTTTCATACAGTTTTATATATATCTTTTTGGAATTAAGCGCCTGTAATACAATTATGATTCCTCATTCGAAATGTTATATTCGACCAATTGAAATCGTGATTAATAAGCAAGATATATATATATATAGCTACACACACGCGGCGATTTAAATTCAAATTCTTAAAATAGAATGAGCACTTAATTCGAGGATTTGATTTCTTAGTGTAGAGAGCTTGAGAAAGAGAGAGAGAGAAAGAAAGAGAGAGAGAGAGAGAGAGAGAGAGAGAGAGAGAGAGAGAGAAAGAGACTGAATGGCAAACTGATCACGTGAATAGATTGTAATGCCGGCCGCATCCAATCAGGACGAAAGCACGTAACCAGTTTCCCCAATCTTTTCCATGCCTATGGAGTTTTGATGACCGCGTCCAATCAGAGGAGAAGCAGTTTGCCAATTCTCTCCCTTTTCCTAGCAAACGAGAATGGATTAAAATAGATTGAAATTTTTTTCTATCTAAATGCGTATTTTAAATAAAGAATACTTTTTTGGATTTAATTGAATTCAATTGGATTCAATTATATGCAATTGGATTGAAAAACTGCATTTCCTATTCAGAATTTTTAATTAAGCAGTATTCACGCATGTACACCACACTACACAAAAATACTATAATATTATTTTTAAATTAAAAAGCATAGAAATATATGCCATTCATATAAATGAATAAAAATGCATTCAGGATTGAAAAGGATTCATTTTAACATTCATGAATCCGTATTTCTGAAAATCTGAATTTATTTTGATCTATTCTCGTTTACTGGGAGAAGATTTACGGATTATCGCTGTGTTTTCATTCATTACCAATGCATTAGCAATAATAGATGAAAACACGGCAATAACCCGCTTTCTGGTATTTTTCTGTAATGAAATGAAATTAAATTGACTATTCAAGAAAAAGAAAGCGCAATTAAACATAAGTCCACATGCGTCACAGACGCATTGGAAATTTTCAGTAATCGAGAATGGATTGAAATGGATTGAAATGGATTCAAATTTTCAAAAATACGCGAATATTAAAATAAATCCTTTTCAATCCGAAATGCATTTTTATTCATTTATAAAAATTACATGAAGCATATTTCTTTCAATATAAAAATAATATCAGCTTTTTCTGTACATACATTGTAAATACTGCTAAATTCACAATTCTGAATAGGAAATGCAGTTTTTGAATCCATTTACATTCAATTGAATTTAATTGAATCCACTTGAATTTGAATTGGATCCAATTGAATAAAAAAAACGGTTTCGCTATTTACAACCATATTTATAAACAAGCCTTATATTTATGGTTTTCTTAAATAACAAGTTCTGATTATAAATATGGGCATTAAAATACTCATTCAGATAAATAAAATTACAATCCATTCTGTTTATTTAGTTAACGATTGCAAATTGAAAATTTGCCCAATTTAGTAATTTTTATCCGTTTTATTTTAATTAATTAAATTTTAATTTTTAATTTTCAATGTATAATTGATACATGCTTTAAAAAGACAGAAATCCGATGTAAGTGTAATGTATTGCATTTAATTTGAACAGCATTTTTTCTCTCCATTGTAACAAAATATCGCCTCTAATATAACTATCAATAATGGCAATGCTAAAAAATCATTTAGAAATCTGTGAATGTTGTGAAATCGTATTTATCGTATGGTCAGTAATCGGAGTAGAGCCATTATATTATGGTATAAGACTCGCATGCGCGTTAGCAGCCAATGAACACGTTCGATGACCTTCAGCCTTACACACAATGAAGAAATATTAGAACCGTAACAAATATATATTATTAAATATTAGAAAAATAAAAAATTAGAAATAGGGATTAAACGTAATGCATATTGGATATAAATAAGATATAACATTTACTTCTATTCCTAATATCTCTTTCATAGAATCTAACTGATATTTCATTTATCGTACGATCGACTTCTGAATAGCATTTAATTGTCCATGTCGCTAATTGGCCAATTCAACACAGGACTTTTCGATTGGTCCAGTAAAAAAATTACAAGCCATTGGCTGTGAATAGATATTCATATGTTCAAAAGAGGTACTACTGCTACAAAAGTATTCTTAATTGAAACAAATAATAAACTGTCTCGTGTATTAATAATAAATAGAAAGTCTCATGTTTTTAATTTTTCAAGGTGTTATAATCACCAACCAATCAAAATCTTTAAACAAAGATAACTAGTTACTAACCATCTATGTACAGTTTTGGCCAAAAATATAAAGCACCCTTATGAATTAACGTAAACATTCTATATTTAACAAAAAACAATATAAAAAACACATATATTAAAAAATATTATTTATTTTTATGACAATTTTAACATTTCGTTATTTTTCTTTTTGATTTCATTATCGTTTCCAAGAAAATGCAATAAATTGAGAATGATTATATACTTATGGCAAAGGCTGTATCTTTTTCTACGGGGAATATCACTTCCTCTCGCTACCTCCTTCTCCCCTTCAATATGATAGAGTTCGCAGATTTTGATTGCTTACGGAAAGCCCGCACAACGGAATCGGGATCTCAGTTACTTTGAGTTCGTTCTAGCTAATTCATCGCGAGCATCGAACGCGCATACGTCGGTAGGTTACGTTGCGGCCAATCTGTTCTCTAGATCCATCTTACTCTTATTATCTCATCCACCTGTCTACTCTACGCTACGATCGGTTCAGCACGTCGAGGACGCGACATCACAGTGGAATTTGTCCACGTGCGACACGTGGAACGGCGCCAGGAAGCGGCGCTGTTGTTACAGTGTGACGACGGTCCCACCTCGTCCCTCTCCGCTCCTCTCACTGATAGAGATGCTCTAGCCGAGTGCCGACAAATCCCGGTCAACATCCGTCGCAGTACGATGGAGTTTACGTCGTTGCTGAAGTCTATGCTAAGTGCTTGCCAGTGTTACGCTCACGTCATCGTGTCATAAAATGGTAAAGTTCCCTCTTCTCTTCTTCTTGGAAAAATTATCTTCGTCGGAAGAATGAAGATACGAACGAGAGAATTCAATCGTATCTAGTTTTTGACACTCAATTCTTTATTATGCATTGCTGTGATTGCGATCGCTGCATATATTCTTTCGTAAAAGGAGATTACTACATTATGAAAATATATATTTTATTTAATTATTCCATATGACTCTTGAACAAAGAAATAAGAAATATGACGAGGATCTTATCAGTTCATTATATGTCGCTTTGAATTAAATCATTATTATCTTTTGGATAGCTATGGCTGCTTTTCTTTTGGAAGATACAGTCGAAATAAATCATTTTATCTTCATAAAATGCCAAGGAAGATGTGATAATGTTTGTATTGACTGTTACTTAAATTATAGAAAACATCTTTTAGTTACTAAAGCAATAATATAATTATGCAAATATTGTAATTTTACATAATTACATTGTCATTGATTCTTATATATGTTTTATACTTGCGTAAAATAAAATTATCTCAGCCTTCAATTTCTTATTTATATGTATACATTTGACATTACATTATTAAGATAACAATAAGTATTAAACAGTAGAATTATTATATGCTATTATTTATAATTTTAGGGTACAACCATATCCCAATTGGAAAGAGATATTGGCTCCGATCAGTTTCCACCTAATGAACACTACTTTGGTTTAGTCAATGTAAGTACTGTGTTACATGAAATTGATGTAGTGAAAATTTTGAATTCATTGTGTTTGTAATAAGAATATATTCTTGCAGTTTGGTAATACCTGTTATAGCAATTCAGTGCTACAAGCTTTATATTTTTGTCGACCGTTTAGAGAAAAGGTTTTGGAATAC